GGAAGGTGGTTCCTGTCACTAGTGTTTAAGTGCCACAATATAGAAGTGACAATGTGGAAGACACTGGCACCCGTGCACGTGCAACATATTTGAATAAACTCAACGGTATATTGGTTATGAGGGGTACGTTAGACCGAGAAGGTTGGTTTTACTAAAAGGTAATCAACGCTGATTTTCATTGAATAATAGAGGGAGGAAACCAGTTACAGCGCGACCCAAATGATCGGAAGAAACAAAGAAAGTAGGGGGGAGACTACAACATGTTGTGTGGAGCAGCCAGTAGTAAACAACATAAAAGAAAAAACCATGTGATTAAGTATTATGAAAATAGACTATTTGCCCACCACTGAATTTTCAAGCTTCGACAAATATTATGAAATCATATAAAATACTATAAGAATACAACCATCACTTAAATAAATTCATCAAAATGATGGAAATAGCAAAGCAGATGATGCTAGTCATAGTTTGAAATATATAATATATTACTCCCTCTATTCATAAATATAAGACGTTTTAGAGACTTGTGTTAAGTCTCCAAAACGTCTTGTATTTATTTACAAAGGAAGTGCCAATCATAAAAATCACAGAAAAAGCATGATATGCAATGTCTTATAAAAATTTAGCAATAAAATCCAATCAAACCATTCTATTATCGGTGTGCCTAGAGCAAACTAATATGGAAAATATATATCGAGGAACCTAATTAAGTCACAATTCATGCTGATTTGCAAGAGTTGGAGGATATATTGTGAGAGCTAGTGTATAATACAGTTTGTAGGAGGTCAACTTTATTCAATCATGGGTCATTAAACTATAGTTAGATGGACGGCTTTGAGGTTGTGAATTCTAAGAAATCGTATGTTTTATATTAGTATGGATACATTACAAGTATCTCGAGAATAATTAAATTTAATGCAAATAAACATGAGGTACCATGTATCTTTGTTTCAAAAATTTATTGCGCTTGCTTACAGTTTGGTGTCTCATATTTATTTGGTAAAACTACGAAGTGCCTCTATTAGCATAGACCAAGCTAATGAAAATAATATCTTCTGGAATATAAGCAATCTATTTGTACCTTCAAATGGCGTACGATCATGCACTGGTATGTGTAAGCTGCGCACCTCAAATACCCTGCCCAAAAAATGAAAAATAAATTGAATGTTAATGCCTCGCTTTAAGGATCTTTTTTAAATTTGAGTATGCAAGCAATAATAGTGCAAAATAATACCAATCAGTATTCTCTCTCTCTCTCTCTCTCTCTCTCTCTCT